GTTGGTGGATGGGGTTTTTTCAAACATCCATGGGGGTGGGGTATGGTGACTGATACAAATAGCCTGTTGGGTGGTGGAGGTTTTTTTTTTTTGGGGGGGGGGGAGGTGTGACTTGTTGTGTGGTGGAAGTGGGGGTGGGTGGAGGTCTTACCAAAAACAGTACTTTTTTTGGGATGTAGGGGGGGAGGGGGTATTGTGACTCATACATTAACGTGTTGGAAGGAGCAGGGGTAGTTTGGTGGCTAATTCTGTCTATCATCTGAACTCTAAGTACATCCGGATAAACTTGAAACAAAAATGTAACACATCAATAAAGTGAGGTCGAAAAGGGGGTCGTGGGGGCTAGTTTGGTGACAGTTACAGTCAACAGTGTAAACACCAAAAGGATAAGCTCGCTACATTGGACTTAACTACACGCCGACTACACTGTAGCGAGCTCGGTGACCGTTACCACATCGAACCCTACCACCAGCGACCTTACCTTCATTTGTCAACATTGTTACAAACTCGACGTTCTAAAGCCGATTTGAAGCTCCCCCTGCCCCCATCTCTCCCCCCTCCCCCACCAGCCCGCCGTGTCACCAAGGTCAAGCAGGAGGGTCAAAGTTTTCGCTGACCACAGCAGACAACAGCTTACCCCCCGTCACATTCCTGGGCTGAGGTCAAAGGTCATCATCTCCCGCGTTATGTCCACAATGACACCCCCCTCCCCACCCGGCCAATCTTCTAAACCCCCCCCCCCCCCCCCACACTTTTTTTTCTAACCTAAGCTCCTGTAAGATTCACGAATATTTAAACAAGTGGAAATATAAAAAAAAAATCTCCTGAGTTGAAAAGTTTGTCAGACAAAACAGCCCACACGTACACGATCTAGTGTCAAACTCTGGGAGCTAGTGTCAAACAGTAGGACTGGTGTTCCACGTTATTTGAACGGTTTCTGTCAATATTAGCTGTTACACACTTTGTGACAAAAGGTGGGTATATAGCGGGTAGGGGTTAGGTCTATCCATAGGTCCCGTGAGCTAGATGAAACTTTGTATCGTGTGGTGGGTGTAGGTTAACCACACGTGTGGTGGGTTTAGGTTAACCACACGTGTGGTGGGTTTAGGTTAACCACACGTGTGGTGGGTATAGGTTAACCACACGTGTGGTGGGTTTAGGTTAACCACACGTGTGGTGGGTAAAGGTTAACCACACGTGTGGTGTGGTAAGTTAGGGGCAACATTCTATCACGTTTTGGTTTAACCACATCAGATGTGTGATGAGTTTTAGCATGTTTACAATAGGTTAACCACACAAGTAGATTATAGGTAGTTAAGCCAGTTGTGATGGAGCCGAATTTTTATCAGGTACACTAGTTTTAATAGCCTCTACAACCTCACCCCTCCCCATTTCCCCAAGCAGTATAATAATCCAATACATTTGCATAAAATAATAGCTTATTACAAACTGGACAAAGATGTTGTAGTGATGCCGCATAAAACTGACTCAAATTACTTAATAATTATTACAGAAAAAAAATACTTTTGAAAATTAAACGAAACATGTATATAACTTGCTTTAAGTTGTAATTCTGTCTTTAAAAACTTCTTAGACATGTTAAATAAATTAGTAGTGTTGAGTACAACTAAAGGAGAAAAAAAAACTGGTAATAAAACATAATGGATAAGTTTACCAATAACAAATTTCACAACCCGAGTCTACGATGTGGATTAGATCTAGAAGTGATTAGACAACAGAGTGGGGCTTAAGAATAAAGCGACATATATTCATCAATTCTATATTATCAATTGTATTTACCTCAAATTTCAATATATAATTAATTATTAATTAATAACAGGGCTAATAAACAGACTGAAATATTTAGTATAGCATTCAACTTTAAAGTTATCCCAATATATATTTAAATTTCATACATCTTTTAAATCTATCACGTGGTCGTGTTAACTATTACAACTAGGCCATGTAATATTATATTATTATACACTGAATCTAGATATAGGCCTACACTGTATCTAATATACAGCAATGTAATAAAAAAGTTCACTTTTTTATGCCACTAATTACTAACACTCATTTAAAGAAAAAAACGTAATGAATGTAATTTGTAAAGTTGAAAGCTAAAAAAAAATGCATCAACTCGAGATATAATTTCATTTCATTATGTTTCTGTATCGTTTAACGACGTATTTCGTTACATTTTAATTACATTTTGCCTAAGCCGAATGTAAATGTAATAAACAAACATCTTTAAAAAGTCTGTATCCTACTAAAGAAAAGCTAATTAATATTATTAGTTTTGCAATATCAGTGAACAAGCGTGTTAACCTACCAGCAACAGAGATCCAGTCGATAAATTCTACCAACTCACCGGCGTGTAAACTCAACACATGTGTGTGTGCCGTCCGTACGAGCACCCGGCTACACACGTCCAGCCTCGCTCAGTGCAAACCCCGCACGACAAAATAACAACATGTGGCGACTGCGCAGGCCGACGAGAGACGGCGGTAATCTCGCGCGAGACCTAAACACAATGGCGATGTTGATGAAGGTAACAGAATAAAAAAAAAGTTTTCTCTACAAGGCAAACATTCCAAGCTGGTAAAATAAAAATCTAAGACGTCTTGCTTATCGAGTGGGTTGCAAACGTAGGCACGAGGGTAGACAACGGCGTCGTCTGCTAGGCGAGGCACGGTTAATTACGTCCCCTGGTTCTCGCGACGTCCTTTGATGTCACTTCGAGGGCACTCAATTATATCGCATTCATACGATCGGTTATTTTTAGTGTAGTGGCCATGATTTTACCCCTCTTCTTTGACTGTTGGAAAGCAGATTCAATATTGATTCAGTTTCGCGTTTCAGTAAGTCAAAAGAATGGTCGCTAATAGAAAGTGGTATTTTCTTTATGCTGCATGAAGAAATAATAGCGGGGATTTAAAAAAAAAATGTACTAGTGTTTATTTAGTAGCGAATTGTAATCATCAGTGCCGTAGATTTAAGTTAACGTTAATATTTAATGTCAAGTTTAACGTAAACCTTAAATTATAACATAGAAATTTTTTTTTTCCGAAGCTTACTGCGAATATTTGAATAATGTAACACACAGTATTGCTGTGCCGGTGACAACGATTTTCAAATTAGATAACTTATAGGCCAATTTAAAATATATATAATGCATGTATGAGTGATGACAGATACAGATATGTATGTATGACAAGTCTATATTAACATTACGTGTCTGAAAGCAATGTGCAGGATCACAAAGAAAAAAATGTCCTTCTTGTACGTACGCCGATATAAAAGGGGCTCCTTTTAATTCCTTTTGGCGCCTTGCTGCTAATATGTGATTCATTTACCAGTTATTGAGACGCATCATAAAGGAACAGTTGAGACGAACGCACTTCCCGGCTCCACCGATCTTCTATTGTACGTCTTCATCCGTGTATAATATACGTCCCAATCCTTGTATAATATACGTCCCCAATCCTTGCTTGCTTTCTGACTAGCAGTGACAAAAAATCACCGCGGGTGACTTTCGCCCTACCCCACTACATCAAACACCCCCGTCCTCCAACACAGAAAATCACCACTACATCAAACACCTCCGTCTTCGTATACAGTAAAAAACACCACGGGTGACTTTCACCCCACCCCTACCCCAGCAGCGCAGAAAACACCTACACTACCCGACATCATGGGTTCAGTTCATTAATTTTCTAAACTTCGACGCACTCAAAGGGGCGTAATCCTTTCACTGCACTTGAGGACACCAAGGCGATTACGGTTCTTGCGGGGTTCACTACAAAAGGTACACAATACAACCGTGTGTCGCTAGCCATTCACCAGCGCCTATACGAGCCAGAGCAAATTTTTGTCATGTATTTAAAAATTACAAGCACGCTCCGCTAGGCTTTTACAATCAAGTCACGAAGATAGTTTTTGATAGGTGGGTCTTTTAAATTATACTTGTACTTCATAACACCGACATTATGAATCGTATTTGATATAGAGTTTCGGTCCGTATTTATTAGATCTATTTGTAAAACTGGTATTGCCAATATGTCTAGTTATTTATGACTCGTTAAGTTACCTTTTCGAACAATGGGGCAAGTGAAATAGTTCATCTGTTTCTGTGACCTTGTCATTTGAAGGGATAGTGTGGTTTGCACTATGCCCAACCGCCTTTACTTTCCCTAACGCGAGTTAGGTACCTATCAAAACTGGGTGGACTCAGTGACGATCTACTGACTTGAGCCCGGAATCGAACTAGATTTATGACTACGGTTTAGATTATGATTCAGTATTTTATTACATTACCTCTGTGTATGATACTAGCTATAGTAAAGTTTGGATACAGTTTTTTTACAGCGTTTTGTGATATTAGCCATAGTAAAGTTTGGGTATAGCAAAGTTACATTATACGGCTATGTATATGGGCTTAATACTAGCAATAGTAGATTTTGGGTATGTAGTAAATAGTTAATTTTCAACTTAAAATAGTATAAATAAATAAAACAATATGGGAGCGTGTACATTGACCATCCCTACTTCCTATGATGTTTAGAAAATGTGATTTTGTCATGTTTAAGTTCCATCCTGTGGTGTACAACTGCTGGTGGAATAAAAGATTTTAATTAAAATCGCCATTTCAACATCGCACTTAAAACCCCAGCTCTAACAACTTAAAGTATAGAGCTTTTTTTATTTAAACATGTTCATATATTGTCCCGTTCTCGTTAAATTACCATATCAGACACAGGTCAACACTCGGGGTCAGGACAACGTGACCGCGTGTCAAGCTGACCTGAACCGGACCATCATCAGATGACCCAACACCCGGACCCACAAGAAAAGCCGTCCACGCGACAGATCAGAGATAACCGACCTACACTCCGACACCAACTCACAGGTAACACTTATGTCATCCAGGGCCCTTAACTCCATCTCAACCGCTGCACTCAACATCGGCGCTGACAGCCCTTGACTAGGCGGCGCTATCTCTATTTACACCCCCCCTCTTCTCTTTTTTTTCTATCTATATCGTATATACGAAATTTCCCCTCACCACTGCCGTACCCCTCACCACTGCCGTACCCCTCACCACTGCCGTACCCCTCACCACTGCCGTACCCCTCACCACTGCCGTACCCCTCACCACTGCCGTACCTTTCACCACTGCCGTACCCCTCACCACTGCCGTACCCCTCACCACTGCCGTACCCCTCACCACTGCCGTACCCCTCACCACTGCCGTACCCCTCACCACTGCCGTACCCCTCACCACTGCCGTACCTTTCACCACTGCCGTACCCCTCACCACTGCCGTACCTTTCACCACTGCCGTACCTTTCACCACTGCCGTACCTTTCACCACTGCCGTACCTTTCACCACTGCCGTACCTTTCACCACTGCCGTACCTTTCACCACTGCCGTACCCCTCACCACCGCCGTACCTTTCACCACTGCCGTACCTTTCACCACTGCCGTACCCCTCACCACTGCCGTACCTTTCACCACTGCCGTACCTTTCACCACTGCCGTACCCCTCACCACTGCCGTACCTTTCACCACTGCCGTACCCCTCACCACCGCCGTACCTTTCACCACTGCCGTACCTTTCACCACTGCCGTACCCCTCACCACTGCCGTACCTTTCACCACTGCCGTACCCCACCCCCTCTCCTGGTTATCTGCCTATAACTTATGTTCCCGACTTGTTCACTTTTTATACCCTCAGCCCAAAGAGCTGTCTTGATTGTTTATATAGGACAGAACTACGTCAATGTCTACCTCCCCTCCCCAAGTCGATCATAAGGGTTTGTAGTTTGTTTATGACTAGACTTCTCTTGACTGAATTACACCCCTGTTCCACCTCAACGGCTGTCCCAATGTGTATAAGTCTTTACCTCGTCAATGTTATTAAGTGTTACTATTTGGGAAGACTTTACCAAGTTATTATTTATGTTGCTACCTATGTTCCACCCCCACCCTCAGCGTTCGTCCCAAATAGGTATTCAAGATTTTGCCACGCCGATCTTAAGAATGGGTATACGAATGTACCCAGTCCTTATCTAACTCAAAAATTTTTTGTTCCACCCCACCCTCAAAGGTTGTCTCATTGCAGCTTATAAGACAACGAAGAATACAACCCTACCCTTATAATATATTTGTAAGCCTAACTACAATCCCTATCCCACGCTAATTATAACATTTCTTGACCCCCCCCCCTCAACGCATACACATATCCTCTATCCGTGTATATGGCCCTGTACAAGACCTCACTCCGTCAATGCCTTAACATCAGACCCCCCCCCCCCCCACCCCCCTAACGTAACTATAACATTAAAGATTGATTTATAGACCAAGAAAACAAAGTGTATGCTTGTATTGTTGACCCCCCTCTCCCATCACTAAACAGAGGCGCCATTGTGCTTTACAAATCTAGAGAGGAAATAAAGAAATGTATTGTGGTGTTAATGGGCCGTGTGTTAACTAGATGTTAAAGTGTGTGGGGGTGGGGCATGGTAATATTTGTATTCACTTATTTATAAACAGACTACAGGTAAAAAAAAAATATGACAAGAAATTAGAACGAAAAAACGTAACGTCGGTATGTAAGGTTAAATGCTGCAAGTACTGTATCTAGACAGATGGACTGATAGGAGTCTTAAGCCTACACAGAGATCTACATCTTCTAATGGTAGGTAGGACGCGTATGTCTATTTATAGATGTGATTGCATCGACACAAGCTTATGCAAACATTTTTTTAGAAAGGCGTAGTTAAATTGGCGAAGTGAAGGGTGGGGGATATCGGGTGGGGGGGGGGGGGGGGGGGGGGGGGGGGGAGGTAATCCATTAATAAAATTTGCACCCACAAAAAAAAAAGAAATTAGTTCCTCTAGCAAAGATCGCACACGTTGATTATTATTACAATGTAATGAGTGGCGAAGACGTTTTTAAATATCAAATTATCGCGTGCATTTTACTGAAACTTTAAACGACAAACTCACTCGGTTGAACAAACGAACATGTTTTATTTGTACAGCTAGTAAGCGATATTTTACCCCTAAACCTGTATGTACAAGCAAGCAGGAAGTAACTAGGGATTGATGCTAGAGACGTCAAAACAAAACGGGGATCGCTCAATGAATGGTTGTGACAAGGTTGTCAGTTGGGAAAAACGACATCAAAGGAGGTGTTTACTCGTTATTTTAACTATTTTAACAGGTGTGAGAAGTGTGTTACGGTGTTACGGTGTTGTTTTTAACTTAAGGTGTAGTATTTAATTGTGTGGTGTATGTATTGGTGTATGTAGGGGAAAATCTTTGATTTGTAGTAAGTAAAGCTCCCTTTCAAACCTGACGGTCTATAGGCAAGTGAAGTAGAGTGCACCTGTTTCTCTGACCTCGGCATATGATGGGATAATGTGGTCAGCACTATGCCCAGCCGCCTTTACTTTCTCTAACGAAAGTTAGGTACCCATCAGAGTTGGGTGGACTTAGAGGCGTTTTACTGACTTGAACCCGGATTCGAACTCGAGATTTTTGGGTTAGCAGTCTAGCACTCTATTGCTCTGCTACGCCGTCCCATATTTGCAGCATGTAGTGTATGTAACTGACAATGTGACTTTAACATAAGGTATGCACTGTATGTAGTGGCAGGCGTTACTTTTACATTTGGTATGTGTCTGTGCACGAACGAGTGCTATTTTAACAAATCGCGGTATGTCGTGTATGTAGAGGCGAGCGTACCGTGAGTACATACCCGCTAACGAGCACGTGAGGTCACATGGCTTGTGACGTGGCAACACATACCAAAACAGAGCAGGGCTGGGGTGAGCGTAACTTTCTGTGACAGCATAAGGGGCCAGTGAGTAAAAGCTTCCGTGTCTCCACCCCCCCCCCCCCCCCTCCGTCTCAGCGGCTTCAGGACGTGGGGGTCCTTACGTAATGAGATCACACAGAGAAAAGGTTGAGTAAATAACCAAAGATCCGTCATGTAACTTTTTGGTATACAGTGTTGATACAGGCTGGGGGTGTAGGTAGACTGTAGATATGGTATGCAGGGGGGGGGGGGGGTGGGAGAAGTGAGGGGGTGGCAGGGCCAAAGTTCGAGGGTAATAGAATGATGGTGGTTGCTGGATGGGGAGTGGATTAGAAGAGGACGGGAGTAAATTGATGACCGTTGTTCTAGGCTTGTAGTGTTTGGGACAGTGGTAATGGGAATAGGGTTGATACAGGACCGTCGTGTGGGTTGTGTGGATGTGTGGGTGAGGGGGGGTGGGGGCAATGACAGCCAAGGGACGCGGGGTGCTGATATAAGGGCCAATGCAGAGGGAGTGAGGCAATATGGCTGAATCGTGATTCTCGGGAATTTAGTAATGTTAGGGTCTTAGTGCGCTAGGGAGGGAGGTGGATATGGGTGGGGTGGGGGGGCATTGTCAGGCCCTTGGTACCGAGGTGATGGCAGGACCGTGGTATAAACAGGAAGCCCCGCAGAGTGGGGGGGGGGGGGGGAAGGACTCAGGCCGTATTAAAATGTCAGCCGGGGTTTGTTTAAATTTAGAAGAAACAAAAAGATAAATGCCAACAAGGGAATCATCGCCGTCTGCTTGGCTAGCGCGGTATGCGGGGACATTGTGTGTGTATTTATGTGGGGGCGAGGGTGGTGGGAGTAATATTGTGCTGGGGGTCCGGTGGGGGTTGCTGGAAGACGGCCCTGGCTTTTGTTTTATGGCAGAGCAAACAAACAATAGAAGACGCACTCCGATGATGTATGTATGAATGTATGTATGGGGAGGAAGACCGCCTTTGTAGTTAAAATGTGAGAATAGAGAAATACCAAGCTGAACGGGACTTACATCGATGTGGGTCTTCAATGTGAAATCGGTTACTGTATGAAATAATAGGGAGAAAAATAGACACGGAGCGAAAGGCAATATCTTCCTTAAGACCTAAATGCAAAAGAAAAATAATAATATTCACTACTACAATAAAATTAACAACATATGGCGTTAAAACCCACCTTGTAAACAAAGAGGCCATATTAATGTTGATTGAATTTAACATGGATTTGTTAAAGTTGGGGGAGGGGGGGGTGGGGGGGGGGGGAGATGATCCGACTGCATAAGTAAAAAAACAACAGGCAAATGATCAAATAACTCACGTGACCTAATTTTATTAACCCTACGAACTTCTGCGGCGGTTACAAGTAAATTGTAATGCCATAAGAGCTTGAAGTAAAATATTCATGGTGAGCGCTGGTGATGTACAAAGTTCTCAAGTGATACACACTTATGGCAACTAGACTCTAAACAAATGTTTAGGGGAAACATTCAACATAAGAGATGTATACATAATTTATTTTACTAGTGGTACCAGCTACACTAGAATGTTGAATCCCTTTACATGAGCATAATTATTTTTTTCTCCTTTCAAAATATCGACTTATTTTAATACTTTCTCGGTATCGAATCCCTACTATTCACTTTCAGAGTATCGATTATCCAGCTTTCACTTACCCAGTATCGATTACCCAGCTTTTACTTTCCCAGCATCGATTACTCAGCGTAAAATAAAAACAAACCGGCTCCATCAAGGCACATACACAAACGATAATCGGATCTACGCATGAATTTTTAACCCGGCAAAAACAAATGCTCAGAAAACTATTAGCTCGATACCCGAGCAGATATCGATTCTGCCCGCGTTCTTCAGTCACTTAATTACCCCTGACAATTGGTCAAGTCCCAGCGCGTCTAATGAACAGATGGGGTCAGGTAGAAATTCTATGTGTTTTCCCTGGCCAGATTTTTCAGCATTTTGTTCGGATTGAATGTGGTTTGTTTAATGAATCGCGCACGATGATAGAAATAGAACAGTTATTGATTACAAAAAATGGGGAAAAAACTTCTATTCATCTCAAACTATGCACTTTTCTGTAATGTGAATAGATCGAATAAATATTACATCGAAAACACTGGAAATCAGAGTTTCTTCCAGGCATCTCTTCTACCGCCCCCCCCCCCCCCGAACGAAATGAAATGTATATAATTTATATAGAAAATATATATTTTTAACAGTGTCCGCCCCCCCCCCCCAGAAGAAAGTCTACCCCCCCCCCCCCCCCCCGAAAATTTCAAGTGCCCCCCCCCCCCCCCCCGAAGAAAAAAGTCTGGAAGAAACACTGCTGGAATTCCATACTCTAAAGTCAATACAATTTGTGATTGATGTTGGGTAATACAATTTATGTTAAGTAATACAATTTCATACCAAGCTTTTCAGTGTGCCTGACATTAAGACGCTTCTTCTTTTAACTTACTAAATTAAAATTCGTATCAAATAAACTATAGTTTTAATGATTTATCTAGTTATTTAAAGAATAATTGTTGGGTTGTCCAAGTTCTACTTCTATACACTGATAGTTCTTCATTCCTGCAAGTTTGACAGCTTAAAATATTCTTTAGCTTAATCTTGGTAACTTAGGAGATACATTCACTAAAAAGCACCATCCTTTAGATAATGTTCTACACACCATGCGTACTCACACTGACATTCCAGTTCTATACACACTACACATGCTAACACAGACTTTCCAGTTCTATACACACTGTACATGCTAACACAAACGGCTGGCGTCACTAAAGCATGCAGGCATGCAAGCAGGTGATCAATTAATTAAATAAGCAGCCTAATCACCTTCACACACAGGTAATGAAAATAAAAATAGATTCGCAAGACGTCGATGTTAAAAAGCAAGAGTTATCTCCACATGCAAGGGTTATCTCCACTAGCTAGATTTATTTCGGCTAGCAAAAGTTACCTCCACTACCAAGAGTTATCTCCACTACAAGAGTTATCTCCACTACCAATAGTTACCTCTACAAGCAAGAGTTATCTCCACATGCAAGGGTTAACCCCACTACAAGAGTTATCTGCACAGGCAAGTGTTATCTCCACTACAAGATTTATCTGCACAGGCAAGGGTTATCTCTACAGCAAGAGTTATCTCCGACAGCAAGAGTTACCTCTACCAGCAAGAGTTATCTACGCTAGCAAGGAGTTATCTTCACTAGCAAAAGTTTCCACCCCCACCCCCCTTCTACCCTCACCCGGCACACTCCACCTGTTACAACGTTCATTAACGATCTAAAACCAACATGGCCGCCGTCAAGTGGAGTAGCGATGAGGTTTTAAGTGAAGTTTTATCACTGATATATCTCACACTCCCAGTCTCCTGCGGGTTTTACGTAATTCAAAAAATGGCCGATATAGTTTAAAAATAGACAAATTTATTTGGTTTTTAAATAAATTATACATCATTTTTTTAAGGGAAACAAGTGATGTGTCTGAAATGTGATTTAAAATTATGGCAGGAATGTCGAGATTTGGTTCGAAAACAAATCTATAGTTCATCAGACATACTGGGAAGTGATGTGAATTTATTTTGTTTCCTAAATAGATTGGGTTTTACTTTTAAATGTGTGAGGGTGGGGGTGAAAGCAGTTTGACATTTAGATACGAGATATGAGCATATTGGCGTACCTAGGGGGTGTGAGGGTAGGTCAACCCCAGGTTACAATTGAGTGCTACCGCCATTACAGGAACAACAACCCGCTTCTGTTGACTACGCTGAATAAGGGTATCGAATGTGTTATCTAGCGACTTAAATTAAATGCATGGTTGATGATGCGGGCCTGTGTGTTACAATATGACTTGACAAGTTGACATATCGGTTACCTGCAAGTAATTGTTGCATTGTGTATGTGTATGTGTATGTGCATTGGGAGGTGTCTGGGGGAGTGTTAAAGATCAAGTTTTTAAAACAAAAGTCAGCATAGTTTTTCTATAATAAATCCGACTTGTACTAAAGTTGGGTAGTGTAATAAATAAGATGTATTATAATGAGTAAGTATTGTAAGTATTCAGTGCACACGTTATTAGCGTTCTATGGTGGGAGAGAGGTTACTCCAATAGGTAGGCTAGCGTTACATATATAATGACGTTAACTTTCTGCTGTATATATGTGTGTAAGTGGGGGGGGGGGGGGGTTCTGTTGTAGGAGGAAGTTCGATAAAGGCGAAGATTGACGTTAGAAATTATTTCATATCATTTACGTTCTGTTGTGTGAGTATCGATGGGGAAGAAGATACGTTTATACACAGAATATAAAAACTAAAAATTGCAACACATGTGTACATGCTCATGGACCATGCCTGATGGAAAACAGCAACGATCACGATCAGCTTATTCCCTCATCGATCACAACGCCGCCATTTTTAAAATATGCAGGTGGGGGAGGGGGGGGGAAGCACTTGTCAGCAGCGGTAAGCAGTTCGATACAGATCGAAGCATCGTTAAAATATCATGGCGCTTCATTAGCAGTACACAACACAGCTTGCCGTGGGCTACACATTAAAACACAACAAAAACTCATACATTTGGCACGACCTTATACGAAGCCTTATAATTATTTCGTCAATATTTTTTTTTGTTTGAGGGAAATAGCGCACCGCTTTTGCCGCTAAATAACGATCTAGCTAACCACATTCCCGCGTAATAAACGATTGTGCGACCGCACGTAGCCTCGCTTTGATCTCTGACCTAGATTTACGGCCACTCAAGCGAAACAAATATTTTCTACCAGAGGTCGTTAAGGGGGCGTGCTTGGTGGATACTCTAAATAAGGGGAGATTATACACGTGGGCAGGAGAAGAGTCATTGTTCAGAAATGTGTTAGGTCCCTTGGGAAAATACAATGTTGAAGTTCCTCCAAATGTTTAGGCGCCGTTGGGATAAAGCACGTTGGAGTTCTTCACGCGAAAGAGATTGAAAAAAAAGAAAGAAGCACTTCACTACCCTAACTAAATATGGGGGGAACGGCAGGCTTCGGTTCTACAGCTAAGGGAGGCAACTCGGGGCACAGGAGGGGAAAGGGACAGAACGAGACAGCTGCTAATGACAAGACGATGTGTCACCTCCCCTTGGGGACCCCAGTGCGACCGAGGTGGAAATAATAAGAGCTGGACGTTGGGGGCAGGGGGGAGTTGAGCTCCGGGCAGTTAAATTAAGTTGGGTGGAGCTGAGCTTAGATGGAGACTGAGCTTATGAACCGCTGTGGTGTAGCTAAGTAGCCTAGTTGTCCCCCTTCATCAATGCTAACAGGTGTATGTGAATGCTGAATATGATTTGGTTGGAATTTGACGATATAAACAGAAAAAAGGAATCATTAAAAAATGTGAAACGACATCAACAACTAAGGCTGTTAAGCATTGATTAAACATTTAAATGAATAGTATACGAATATTACGAATATTATACGAAAAATACAATTCAGAGAGTCTTAAGAAATCACATTTTAAAAAAAAACAGTATCTTTTAACCGACTATAACAAATAATAAATAAATGAATGAAAAACAAAATATATTAATACGTTTAATTACTTTAAGTATTAAATACCGCTACCATTAGTTACTATAGTCTTATCATTTAAATAAAGAATCCAGTTTTTAAGAAAATAAAGTTACTAATACAATACTTGCCCATAAAAGTACTTTATGTAACGTTTCAGTGCCAAAGTTTTCTATGTATGTTATGTTGAATGTTAGAATAAGTGAGGTATATTTAACCTATTATATCTACTGGTATACACCACTTCAAACAGGTGTACGATATAATACAACATTTAATAGATGAAGTAGAGCTAACCATAACGCCTAATTATTATAACATTAGGATTGACAGTTTGCGATAAACGGCCTCTTCAACTTGTCAAACAGTTTACACTTGCAGCAACCTACGGACTGGGGTCCACGCATGATCAAATAATGTTTTGACAACAGCGAACAAAGGCTCAGCTCTGCTTCAAGTGTTATATGACTTGATAAAAATATATAGGGAGATTATAGAAGGATCGGTGCCATTGACGGGCGTCAGACCGGAGCGTAGGGTTGGTGTAAAACACGCCAATGTCAGACCGGAGCGTAGGGTTGGTGTAGATAGAGCCCGTCAATAGCAGGCCGGAGCGTATGGTTGGTATAGACAGTATCAGACCGGAGCGTAGGGTTGGTATAAACCAGAGCGTAGGGATGGTGTAGACCGGAGCGTAAGGTTGATGTAAATATAGTCCGTCCGAAGAAATTACGATGAGGTATTTTGGTATAAAGAGTATGGGTTGGAAGAATGACGCGTTGGGTTGTGAATACATTTCTATTACATAAACGTAAGAAAGTCCTATACAGACTTGCATGAACGATTAACCCCGAATGCCTGTATTCTGCACGATAAATTTATTATAACACGTTATTTTACTACACATTTACATTAAACTACTAATTTTTGTAATACTTTAAAAAAATGTAACCACGAGTATATGAAATAGATATCAGACATAATACATTGGCGCAAATAAAGAGAGCCGCTCACAATGGAGAGGTGTGGCTGCAGCGCTTGGCTCCACAGGGGCCACAAAGGAATAAGTGAAGTCGAGTGAAGACATTGTAGACTAGTCACGGTAGTCAGGGTTAGTTACATCAATAGGAAATCAACATTAAATGAGATAAGTGGATGTTACAATATTATAGCTATACCTAATACAAGTTATTAAGTATTAAATAGGGCCGGAGTATGGGGTAGTATACAATCAGTACACTAATATTAATATACTGCACTGATAATAATTCTAACCTAACTGTATGTCGAATCAAGTGTAACATATTTTTTTTACTGTTTGGGCCATTAGTAGATTATATCATTTTATTATTAAATGTTAGCCTATACTCTCTATATCAGTTATAAGTTAGACTCAGTAATAACTATAGTGCTTATGATCTTACAAAATGTACTACTAAAATGGTGTCCTGAATGTACAGCTTAGGTGCAGTACCGACAGGTCATATCTGACACAATTTTTGAGTGACAGCACATGATTGCAATAAGGCCCTAGATCTAGATCTAGATCTAGATCCAGCTAGGAATTCTAATCATCAACCGATATGAACGTGGGCAAAACCATACGGTCATTTGAAAATCGATCTTGGGTGGCCATTATTCTTATTTAAATATTTAGAATACTATGGGATGTTTAGACGTGTTCGTAACTGTCCGTTAGCCACTATACCCATCATTCGTTAGAGTTAGATATTTAACAAAAGAACCTGCTCACATTCGCCATACTCATCCACCGCTTGTAGCGCCGTATCCATTATGTGGTGTTGTGGTGAGGGCTAGCGTGAGAGAGGGGCTACGACATCACAACAGCTAGACTACACTACAACAACAAACGTCAAAACTTACGTGTTAAGTTGTAACAGCCAGCCGTGAACAAACACAAACACAACGCAGCCGGTAGTCCAACAAAGAGTAGATATAACGTACGTCCTGAATATCACACTCGCACCGAATCTTGCCCTCGACAAGAAGACACCACTACATGAGCGAATCCCTTTTTCGCGGCTGGTCGCGAGGAAACACAAGACGGACACACACACACAGACACGGGCTGGGGCTACCTGAACACAGAGGCCGCCCGCTCCGCCACGGGAAAACCACTCGATATGCCAGCACAAAGCCAACGCGCACACACAACGTTTGCGGGCGTGCCGCGAGGAGAGGGAGGGGGAGGGGAGGGGTGCAGTTATGGAGGGAGGGTGGAGTAAAGGGGGAGGTGTGAGCAAGGAGGGAGAGAATAATTATGTGGGGTATGGATGAGGAAGGGGGGTGGAGGAGAGGAGAGTTATAAACTAGCAGGGCGTGGAACGTGGATTAGGGGGGGGGGGGGTAGTATGGATCAGGATCCACTGTGTGAAGTATAGAGACCAGATCACAAAAGAAAAAAAGAAATTCCTTAAAAAAAAAAACTAAACAAGACACATATAATATATGATGAATAATGCACATGATCTTTTCATGCTTTGAACAAAAAACTTGTTTAAAAACACATCTGTAAAGCATCAGGAAAGCTTGTTTTAATGGCATAATTAATCAGAATCGATTAGCGAATTGTAGGCTGCATGTATGTGTTGTTTAGCAGTTTGCTTATGTTTTAATATTTAATAACCCAACGTTTGTAAGTTGTTGTTTTTTTAATTAAATGTTGCAAGTTCACGCCTTGATTGATATTTTAATTATCTCGCTAACATGACAACGAGATAACCAGTTTAGGAGGGTGACAGAATGAGAAGGGTAAGGATTGGGTTTGATGCAGAGGCGTAGCGACGTGGGCGGGGGGGTACATATGTCCCCGGGCGTCGACCTATGGGCGCCAAAATAAGTTCATTTCAGATGCTTTTTTTTAATTATAAATATAAAAAAATTAGTAGGGGGGGGGGCGCCAATTTGAAAGTTTGTCCCCGGGCGCCGACCTAGGGGCGCCAAAATAAGTTCATTTCAGATGCTTTTTTTAAAATTATAAATATAAAAAAATTAGTAGGGGGGACGCCAATTTGAAAGTTTGTCCCCGGGCGCCGGGAGGGGTCGCTACGCCTCTGGTTTGATGTTATTCACGCGTACGATCGAACTTTGATGCTATTGAAGGGCGATTAGTCAACAATGTAGGGTGCTACTGTAGGGTAACATCATGTTGACACTGTGGTATAACATCATAAACTGGTAGTTGGCATAGTGGTATAACATCATAAACTGGTAGTTGGCATAGTGGTATGACATTATGGACTTGTAGTTGATATGGTGGTATGACATTAAAGATTGGTATTTTGTTGACATTAAAATATGACATTACAGAGTGGAAATTAGTTGAGAATGTGGTATGACATTTAAGACTGGCATTTTGTTGACACTGTGGTATGACATGTGATACTGGTTGTTTGTTGACATTCTAGGTTGACATTATCAGTGTAGGGTAGGTTTGCTTTAAATGACATACATTAACACTGCAGAGTGACGTTTTAAGTCAACGTAGATTTTTCGACTTTTAAAGATAAAGTACCTTTTCGATTCTTACGGTCCATGTGGGCTGGTGAAGTCGAGTTCACGTGTTTCAATCAGCTCGGATATGAAAGGATAGTGTGGTCAGCTTTTGTGAGTTATGTATCCACCACAGATGGGTGTACACGGGAAGGTCATAAGGGTTCGAACCCGCGATCCGAAAACACGATATTCTCGGGTTAGCAGTCGCACGCTCTACGTTTCGACCACATCGCTCCCTATTAGGTTGACAATATAGTAAGGCATTAGCTCAAATAACGTAAGTTAACACTGTATGTAGGACGACCTAAGTCAATATTGTTGATTGCGGACATCATCAAGGCACTAATCCTAATTAATTTGACGAGAATGCTGAGAAGTATTTCCTTTCTCTACCAACAGCTATCCTAGTCCTATCCTTATAATGTCGGGATGTTTGACGTACCATAGTATCAAAACCAGTGGCGTAGCCAGGATCGTCTCAAGGGAGGGGGTCCAATTTTTACCCGGGGACAAACTTTCGATTTGCACCCCCCCCCCTCAAACTTTCTATTTGCACTCCCTCAAACTTTCGATTTGCACCCCCCCTCATACTTTTTCTATATACCGAGGGGGTCTATGAGGGGGGGGGGGGGGTTATGACCCCCCTAACCCCCCCCCCCTGCCTACGCCACTGATCAAAACTATAATCTTTTGCTTATTGCTGTGACGTCATATGACCCTGACCTGAAGCTTCAACGGCCACATTATTCTGATCCCAGAAACCAAACCTCTAAACTACAGAATGGTGCTATTGTTTCACCACCGATCTCGCGAGAACTCCCCACGTTTGTGATCTATCCACGAGTTGTCTTGCGCATTTTTAAATCATCTTCTAGACCTTTTGACGAAACCCAGTCTAAGTTTGTCTAATCTGAGGAAATTATGCATTCAGCCATGCTGTCTGCTGTCTTTAGCCTTGACACGTCATTGAACCAAGCGTGTAACAGGAAGTTGAAACTGTCTACAAACATGGCGTATGCAACGATGTTATTTGTATTTTTAAAAACCTAAAACAAAATCTTCCTAACCTATTTTTTTTGTCTACAAAAACACAATATTTTGAATAACATTATAAAACCACAATGCAATAATTACACATCACCGCACACAATTACATCGATGTAAGCATCTCCCTAACTTTTACTTATTCAAACAATGTAATTATACCCCCATCACGGCCTGGCAGACCTATAATTGGCGGTACCATGAATGTGTTGTTTGCGTTAATGTTAAATTCAATGCCGACAAGTTTTCTCTGACGTCCGCGCTATGCAGTTTGTGTAGTCACGTGTCTCGCAGATCTCTCAATGGTACGACTTGTTATATTTCTACAGTAGGGCCATTGATTTGTCACCAACAATGCAACACTTTAAAAATAACGCATGGATTTTAATTATTTACTCATGCTATGATTGTTTTGTTTTGTGCGTGGGGGTTAAAACACACTTGAAAATGTTTGTTTAACAATTTTAAAAAAAACTTGTTTAGTTTTTAAATTGTAAAAATTTATTTGTTCAAACGTCAAAAATTGTATTGCAACATCTCATTTTTTGTTTGCCGATACAAATAAATTATGGATGTCTACATAGAATATAACGTAATGTAACAACGGCGGTTTATATAACGTACTTCACGGTATATCAACACGAATGTCTTTATTTTTAAAAAGCTCCCTTTTTTTTCGAAACGGACGGTCCATTGGGCAAGTGAAGTAGAGTCCACCTGTTTCTGTGGCCTCGGCATATTAAGTGATAAATGTATGACGCATTTTTTTATGGTTTATTTTATACCATCATTTCCCTACACTATACAACCATCTATTATGCTACCATCATCTACCATCGAGTTTACAACAACCATCAACAACATCCTCACGTTTTTATCGTCTGTGATCTTATATTTTACTCCTGTATAGACAAGTAAAGTTTCCTATTTAGACCTAGAGATCCATTGGCATCGGATAATGTGGTCAGCACCATACCCAGCCACTTTCACTTTCCCTAACGTGAGTTAGGTACCCATCATAGTTAGGTACCCATCAGAGTTAGGTACCCATCTGAGTTAGGTACCCATCAGAGTTAGGTACCCATCAGAGTTAGGTACCCATCAGAGTTAGGTACCCATAAGAGTTAGGTACACATCAGAGTTGGGTACCCATCAGAGTTAGGTACCCATCTGTTAGGTACCCATCAGAGTTAGGTACCCATCTGTTAGGTACCCATCAGAGTTGGGTACCCATCATAGCTAGGTACCCATCATAGTTAGGTACCCATCAGAGTTAGGTACCCATCAGAGTTGGGTACCCATCAGAGTTAGGTACCCATCTGTTAGGTACCCATCATAGTTAGGTACCCATCTGTTAGGTACCCATCATAGTTAGGTACCCATCTGTTAGGTACCCATCTGTTAGGTACCCATCAGAGTTAGGTACCCATCAGAGCTGGATAAAATCACGGACGTTTTGCTGACTAAACCTGGAATCTACCGCTCTACTGCTAGGCCACGCCACACCATCCCCCCATTTAATATTGCAAACGACATCATAATACACCGTGTACTATGCGTCTATAATTGTCTTAATTACTGGAAACACCTGGTCGGATGGTAAAGTACTTAACAGTTTACCCAATAGTCACGGGTTCAGATCTCGAATATGTACGCTGTCCGAGTCCACATAGCGCCGACTTTCACAGGTTGAGGTCACAACAAAAAACTGTTGATAATTTTGTTAACGAAAAACCATACATTTTTTTGTATGACTATGTACAAGCTTCTATAATTAGCCATGAGAAATTGACGACCGACACGGTGTTTTTTTCTTACGTCACAGGTGTCACTACGTCAGCGGTCACGTGATGGATGGGCCGTCCACCGGGGAAACAAATCCTCCAATCGGAGCCGAGAATGGATGGGCGTGTCAAGACCATCACGTCAAATATATCCCATAGTTCGACGTTTCGTTCGCTTGTCTCTGTCAACAGTAAAAAAAAATTGTGCGTGACTTTATGACACGACATACCGTATACAACAAATGCTGATTTGACCGCTTGGAAAAGTTTACATAGAAAGATTTTTTGGGCCAAGGACCCTGATCTTATTAGTTGGCATTAAATAGTGACTTTTGAAATTACCGTTTTTTTAGAAGAAAATAATATACATCCACAGTTATACAATGTGCCTTGAACTAAAAGATACATTAACACATAATCGAAAAATAATAGTATAGGCTTATATGAAAATTAAATATAATCCGAACAAAATATACCTTCTCTTAAAAACGCTAACTGCACAACACACACACACACACACACACACACACACACACACAAACACACACACACACACACACACATATATATATATATATATATATATATATATATATATATATATATATATATATATATATATATATATATATATATATATATATATATATATAATATATATATATATATATATATATATATATATATATATATATATATGTAGCTGTTCCTCTCTCTCTCTCTATCTCTCT